GAGGCAGAGGCAGGTGAATTTCTCAGTTCGAGGTTAGCCTGGTCTACAGAGTGAGTTCCAGGACAACCAGGGCTACACAGAGAAACCCTGTTTCAAAAAACCAATAAATAAATAAATAAACAAAACTAAACTACTACAATAGTTGCAGTTGCACTGGTTAGTATTTGCCAGTTTAACACAAACTAGAGTCACCTGGGAAGAGGTTCCTCAGTTGAGGAATTACCCAGCAGGCTGGGCTGTGCACACATTCGTGGGGCATTTTCTTGACTGGTGATTGATGTGAGAAAGCCCAGTCCAATGTAGGCGGTGTCACCAATGGGCAGGTGGGCCTGGGTGACATAAGACAAGCAAGCAGTAAACAGCACTCCTCCGTGGCCTCTGCATCAGATTTCTGTCATGAGTTTCTGCCCCGACTTTGTTCAATGATACACTGTCAACTGGAAGAAGAAATAAATCCTTTCTCTCCATGTTGTGCTGAAGAAAGAAAGAAAGAAAGAAAGAAAGAAAGAAAGAAAGAAAGAAAGAAAGAAAGAAAGGAAGGAAGGAAGGAAGGAAGGAAGGAAGGAAGGAAGAAAAAAAGGAAGGAAGGAAGGAAGGAAGGAAGGAAGGAAGGAAGGAAGGAAGGAAGGAAGGAAAAGAAAAAAAACAAAGTAAAGCAGAACAACAGCCAGCCATGCTTTTACCAAGAAAGCAGCCTTCCCAGAGTCAGCTTCACTCAGACACACTATCTCCCTTCCATATGGTAATTGTGACAATTTTTCCTTCCTTTCATGTGGTATTTCAGATTCTAAGGGGAGGGGATAATTTGTCACACTTTCCCTTCCTCAAAGTTAGTGTTACCAGGCACACACGTGGTAGAGTCTTCTGACAAGCTGCCCTATGAGGGAAGACGGCCACAGGAGCAGGGAAGGCCTTACGCCTGTGCTTCTGGCTCGATTGACTGCGATTGTCCTTCTCAGTAGAACAATGTCCCCAGAACTGCCATTTGGGGAAAGGGAGACTTTGGATCTGACACTTGAGGCCACAGGCCCAGATGACAAGCCTCAGAGATAGTTTTTGGGGGTCTGGAAAGCTGGTGTTCTGTTGAAACACTAAGGGGAAATGGACACATGACAACTGACACACAGACCAAGAGAACCCAACAGAAGTTTGAAGTTTGGAGCTGAAGGTGAAGGTGACTAAAGCTTTTTGGTCCTCTATTGAAAGCATTGGTGTTCATGAATAGGGCTGCTCTCCCTAAGGGATACAAAATCAAGATAGACAGTCACTACTCAAGTCAGGGTGTGGGGGGGGAACAAGTTATTAAAGAAGCAACAAACGAAAACTTGAACATTCGGCACACACTAAAGATAGAACAGCACTGATGAATTGATCAGTCTTCCATGGAAAACTGTGGAGCCATGTGATGTTGTTGAGCATGTCTGTTCCCAGCATTCTGGAAGCTAATGCAAGACTCAATTTGAGGCCATCCTGAGCTACACAGTGAGACTCTGTCTCAAAAGACCCCAAAACAACCAACCATGTTTTTTTTTAATTTAATGAATGTAGAAACATTCACCAAAACCAAAACTCTATCCTTAAGATTATTATATAACAGAGTATTTACTTCACCATAAGAAGAAAACTTGATGTTTTAAGACTCAAAGAAAGAAAAACAAATGCCTGAGACTCCCCCCGCCCCTTCTCTCAGTAGAGAGGGACCATGGCGATTCTAATCTTGCCAAGGCAGGGATAGAGGCTTGACCTCCAGTAATTGAAGGGGACCTTGTAATGGCTCTGGTCCCCATGTCGTTGTCCAGTGAGGCATGAGGGCCATACCCATCCTGATGTATTTTTCCTGGAGAGGGGATACTTTTGACATCAACCCCTATGCAGTCAGGCTTGTCCCTCAGGGAACCCAGAGAGATATTTTTAATTTTTATTTATATTCCTTTGCAGTGCTTTGCCTCAAAGCCTAAGCAAGAATTTAGATCACCAGTCAGAGGGGGTTCTGGGTGGTCCCTCTCTGCTTGGTCTAGGGGTGGAAGTCCCCTCTCTTAGGTTGGATGGAGATGGGTTTTGGGAACACCCTGGATGGAGTAACAACCTCGTCTTGAGTCTCATGGTCCTCTATAGCTAACCTATAATAATGTACCTAATAGGTTTTGCTGCCAAGTTATCTATCTGTTGTTTCACAAAATTGGTGAGCCTATTTAATGCCCAGAAACCAAAAGAAATAAGCAAACATAACCCAACTAACAGTCCCAAAATGAAAGGAAGTAGGGTTGACAATCATGGAGAAGTTGAAAACCAATTCTTGTACCAGCTCTCATCTTTCTCCCTTATTCTCTTCTTTAACCATCTGTCTTGTCTATGTAAAAGCAACATTCTTCTTTAAGAGCTGCACACAGTCTTTTTTGTTGTAAAAGAGTAAATCAAGTCTAATCAAGTCCTCTGTGTTTTGGAGGACCACTTCAGACAGCAAAATGAGGGATTTCTCCAGATTAGTGATGTCAATCTCTAGCTGTTTGATGTCCTTGTCAATGGTCCATCAAAGGTCTGAGTAGTGTAAGTTCAGAGGCCAGCATAAGGATTAGAACCTCCAACAGCAAACACCACAGGTGATTCATTTTTACCTGGAAAGGAAAAAGAAGGAAATTCTCAGGGAGATTTCTCTTCCCTTCATGTCAATTGTTATTCATCTTATTTATGGTTGGGCCTGGCTTTGTAGGGATATCTATTTATTTCATTAATCTTTCTGGCAGCCATTTAGCTGTGCCTTCTTTGGTATCAAACAAGCATATCAATCCTTGGCCCCATATGAAAACTGGGTCTGGGCTATTCCATTTAAAGGTAAGAGGGTCCTTCCACATAACTGTGGCATAGTTTTTATTGGCCTCAGAATGCCAGAGGCAATCAGCAGCAGGTTTGTCAAGACCAATGCAGTTTGGGAACATTCAGTTTAGCCAGGGGACAGACAACAAATGATCCCACAATATAGCCCTGGAATGTACTGGTGTCACATGACTGATGGTCATATCCAGCCAAGGTTTTCTAGGTTTTTCTTGTAAAACATTGTAATAAAGGTACTCAGGGATTACAAAATAGCAAGAAAATAACATTCAAATTTCTCCCTAAAAGTTCACTTACAGAACAGTTTTCCTTACTCAACATGTGTCCCAAACTAGCTCAGGCCAGATTGCCTCCTTACCCTCATACCTGGACATAACTGGAGTATGACTGAACAGAAATTGTTTGATGGTTGTTGGGGGGGGGGGAAGGAACTTAACTCTATTGTCTGGAGAGAGCAGTACGTGCAGCTCAGGGAAGGCAGGGCCGTAGGTTGTCAAGTGCATTGTTTGGAGGGTGGTGTGTGCACATAGTATGTGCAATAGCAGGCTGCCAAGTGTAGTATTAGAGGGGTGTGTGCATTGCACAAGCCAGGTTCATTACTAAACTAGTTGTTGTGCTTAGTGCTTACTTACCTGCCTCACTGGGAAGAGGGGGTGAGGCGGGAAAGACTGTACCATGGCCCTTGTAAGCTTCAACGACCAGGAGCTAATGCTTCCAGGCCTCTTCTCAGATGAAGACAGTGAAGCGGACTGAGGTCGTGCTGATAACCTTCGTGAAATTAGGTACCAAGGAAGTAAAACGGCCTGTACAACCAAGCCAAGTGGGCAACTGCCCAGAGCTCAGGTTATCCAGGAGGCCACGTGAGGAAGGGGTAGATAGGGCTTTCTGAAGAAAGCTGCTGTGACTCTGAGGGAGGGAACATCATACAGATGACACTATCCCTGCTCCACCCGAAGCCCTGTGCACAGAGTGAATCCAGAACCTGCTGAGGTCTCATGGTCACCTCACCAGAAAGTCTTTCCTTAGCATAAGCTGCTGGGAATGGGGCCGACTGAGAGCTTCCTTTTAGAGACTTCTACTCAGAGAAAGACAGAAAAGAATTCTAGGGCAAGGCAAGTGTAAAGTGTACACTTTACAAGTGTAAAGCGGGGCTGTGGTAGATTAGTATACTTGGAAGAAAGTTCCGTATAAATGTAAGCATGGGAGAGAACAGGTGCTTAGGAGGTGCTTCCTTTTTTTGGTAAGTGAGATCATAGGGCGGTTCTTATGTGCACTGGCTAGGATTACAGCTGACACGGTAAAACTCGAGATCACACGGGCTATAGGGAACATTAAGCTATCTTTACTGTAAACAAAGTTTTAGTTCTATTTGGGAAACTTCCAGAAAATACCTACGAAAGGATAAAAGCAAGCCTTGAGCACAGTTCATTGCTATTTTAACATTCCCTTTTGATAACAAAAAAATTTTTCTATATAAATGAAATATTGTCCCTCTGTCAGCAACCTTCACAGTCAATGGTGTTCATTGTGCTGAAATTCTTGATTCTCAGATGGCAGAAAAGCATCCACCAGGCTCCAAAGCAAGGCCTGCTTTTCTCTTTCCACTTAACCAGTACTGTTTCCATGCTTTCTATCCTGCTCAAGGTACAGGGTAGCCTGGGGCTGACTAGAGCAGGAAGCCAACACCCACTGTAACAGAGACTTCTGTCAGTCGTGATTTGCCTGGATGAGGTGGAGAAGTTCTTGAGTTGCCCAGTTATGAGGACTCGAGACATGGCCCAAGGGAAGCAATGAAAAGGGGGTTCTGGGGGTGTCTGCATTCTACTAAGGGTAGGAGGGCCTGGTAAAGGTGGTCTGTGGAGCTGTCTGAGGGTGGGACAGGAGTTCCCACTCACAGTGTATGCTGGGGGTGTTGCACACATTCACAGCAGTGTCACTGGATGAGGAGCCCAGGCCAATGATGCTGTACCTGCCTGTGGACTACATGTCTCTGGGCTCAGCCCAAGGGTCGCCTTTAGAGGTGAGGAGACCACCAGAACATGTATGTGGTCACGTCTCAGAGACCCCAGCCCATTTTGGAGACCACTGGGCTAACACGATACTTAAAAATATGCTTTTATTTGGAAAATTCAGGATGCTTACTTTTTTTTCTTTTCCATTTTACTTAGGCACTGGGAAATCATGAATTTGATAACGGTGTGGAAGGACTGATTGATCCCCTCCTCAGAAATGTCAAATTTCCGATTCTGAGTGCAAACATTAAGGCACGGGGGCCACTAGCTCCTCAGATATCCGGACTTTATTCGCCATCTAAAGTTCTCCCTGTCGGTGGTGAGGTTGTGGGGATTGTTGGATACACTTCAAAGGAAACCCCCTTCCTCTCAAATCCAGGTATCTTCCACTTTCACGGTACTTGTAACTTGGGAATAGATGTGGTAAAGCAGTGCTTGGCCGGCCATGTTTCTATAGTCTAGAGCAGATGAAGGATGGTGAAGGAAGGGAAAGGATGGGAAGCAGGCCCAAGGTGGCAGATTCTGTGTTGTTCTCCATTATCCGATGAAGGGCATCTCTGTCTCTGCTTGGTGAACTTCTTTGTTGACTAAACAGTGTCTCTGTTTAATTCTGTGTGTTCAAAATTGCTAGTGAAGCCTGGCACGAGCAGCTCCCACAGATCTCTGGTCCCCAATAAAACAGTTTTCCCAGTTCTAATACTCAAGAGCGTACACACATGTATAACACCAATTCCTAGCACATTTAATTTGAAGTCCACCCCCTGCCCCGTGCGTGCATGCGTGTGTGTATGCATCCTAAAATATATCCCATGAAATCTCTACATGTGGTGTCCAGACCTGAGGCATTTCTCAGAACTATTTTGTTGTGGGACTAACCAAAGTATTGGATAGCAACATTCTGTCCACACCCTTCCTCCCTGCCCCGCCCCCTCCCCTGGGGAGCTCTGTGCCTCACACTGTTCTGGGTACTAGAAACGCCAATCAAGAAGCCTGTTTCTCCCTGTGCTCACATATTCAGTGAGAGAATAAATAAATCTGTGTCAGAAGATAGTGAATAGAGTGAAGAGAAATGAGACAGGAGAGGAATAGGCTGCATAGCAGAAGGAGGGGTGCACATTGCTCTTTTAGAGAAGTACCCAAGGAAGGCTGACAGAAAAGGAGGGCCACGATGGTTAGGATTAATGGTCAACATCTCAAAAGTCACCTAGGAGACAAGTTCCCAGGAATGCTTGTGAGACATTGTCTGAATTAAGGTGGGACAATCCACCATAAACAAAGACAGCACCATTCCCAAGGGTTGGTTCCTGGGTTGCATGACAGAAAAGGACACGTTCTTATCGCTCTCTGCTTTCTAACTGTGGATGTTGTGTGACCAGCTGCCTCAAGCTCCTGCCACCAGGGCTTTCCCCACAAATGATGGACTGTACCTCAAACTGTGAGCCAACCTAAGCCCTTTGCCCTGTAAGTTGTTTGTGGTATTTTATCACAGCAATAGGAAAAGAAACCAAGAAAAGGACTCAGTGTCGAGGGCTGTCCAGGGAGCCCCAAGCTTATCGGGGTTACAGACAAGAATCATATGGTCCCTGGCGTTCCTGTGACGGACAATGGTAACAGAACATTAACAATCTTGAAGTTTTCAGTGCTGACTTAAGCTACTTCAGCACTGCTGAACCAGGACGGCATGTCTGTGGTCCCCTCTTGACCACTGAAGACCTAATGACTTGCTAGGTTTGGGCTAAAGGCTGGGAGGCCTGGTTCATGTCTAAGCATAGGATTCCCAGGAGCTATGCCAGCCAGTGCCCGAGGCACTCATTATTAGCAGTGGGCGGTAGAGTGAGCTCCGTGAGCTTGGCTCCCCTTCCTAGGGCAGATGAGGTCTCTAGGTCATGCAGCTCTCAATTCTACTCTAATGCTGCCACTCCCTACCTGAAAGTGAGCAGTTACCATCTACCATGCCAAAATTAGTTTCCAAGGGTGAGCATGATGGCTCTGTGGGTAAGGACTTTGTCACCTCACCTGATGCCCAGACTTCAATCCCTGGAACCCACATGGTAGAAGGAGAGATCTGACATCTGTAAGTATGTCATAACACACACAAACTAAAATAAAAAAAGAAATGTAAAAACCTCTTTTTGAAATTGGCTTTCAAAGCCTACTTGTTGACATTTTAGTTCTGAAGACAGAATACCCCAAGTTTCCAGGCAAGGCAATGGGGCTGGCTGCAGTTGTAGAGACCATGCTTGCTTTTGTGCTCAGACATGTTTTTCATGGTTAGTGTGAAGGCCTAGGTGTAAAAGGAGATGGAAACAAACCGTACCTGAAGTCTCTTCTTAGTATGAGATTCAGTTTAGGCAAACATATCATCTATGGCCCAATGAGATGTTCAACAGATAATGATGCTTGCCATATAACCTGATGTCCTGAATTCGATCCCCAGGACCCACGTGGTGGACAAAGAGAACCAACTCTTGAAAACTGCCCTCTGACCTCCATGCATGTACTGTAGTATGTGTGCACACACAAAAATAAATGTTACATATACATATATGTTTTATATATGTTAATATATATATGTATATATACATATATATATATAATTTTATGTATCATCTACAACCTTAACCCAATGCAATATTGGGTAAACACAACTAAGAACATTGACTTACATTTTTCTTTACTGCTAAGGCTTTTGTACCAGAGATATTCATACGTTTTGCTCTCAGTAAGTGAAGAGCTTTAACAAGAAATCATACTTAGTGTGTTGGTATTTACGTAGTGCAATGAAGTTCTTTTAATATCCATTTTATTACTTTTCTTCCTTAGGGACAAATTTAGTCTTTGAAGATGAAATCAGTGCATTGCAGCCTGAAGTAGATAAACTAAAAACTCTAAATGTGAACAAGATCATTGCCCTGGGGCACTCTGGTTTTGAGATGGACAAACTCATTGCTCAGAAGGTTCGAGGCGTGGATGTCGTAGTGGGAGGGCACTCCAACACCTTCCTCTACACAGGTAATTGTTTTGATGCATTCTGCAAGCTAGGATGTTCATTCAGTGTGCAATCCACAATGTATAAGCTGTAACATACAGTATACAATGTACAAGCTGCAATATATAGTATACGAACAATCTGCATTGGATGAGGACAGGTAATCTTACTGGGTGGTGTTTCTAACCATTCATTTCATGATTAAAACTCAATGCTACAAGCATATAGCACACATAATGAAATGAAAACATTACTAATCTCCAGACAAAGGTCAGTCAGTGGTAGAATGCTTAAAAGATAAATATATATTTTTAGATGTTTTCAGTGGTTCTTGGACCTGAATCCAGGCCTTTCTGTATTTTAAACATCTATATCCCCAGTCTTTGGTTTTCTAAAACAGAGTTTCACTATCTAGCCCAGATTAGCCCTAGTCTTGTGATTGTCCTGCTGCTGCGTCTGAGGAGAATGGTAGGATTATAAGCATGCACCTCTGTATCTGGATTGGAAAATATCATCATCATCACCATCATCATCACTACTATTATTATTTTCATAGGACTTCTTAGAATTTTAAGTGCTGAATACATGTTACATGTGGAATCAGAAAGTGGGATACAGTACAAATTATAGAAAGAAAAGAAACACAATATTGAGTCAAAAGTCCTCCTTCCTAACTCACTTGACCTTGAGCAGACAGGTCACCTGACACCCTCTGGGCACATTGGCTTCCTAATGAGGAGTCTATCAGAGTTTTGAAGATTAAGAGTCCGGGAACAGTTGAATTCACTGGTTCGGCCTCGGGTGAACATCCCCTTGGCTCTTCAGAACACAACATGAGAGAGAATCAGGGAGGGAAATGGACACGTGCAGGAAGGCCAAGTGTGTGTGGTGGGCCTCCCGTTACAACCACTCCCTCTCATAGCACTAGCTGTGGTCTCAAGAGAACTAATCTCTTTCAACGGTGATGGCTCCAGTGACCTCGTCACCTCACCTTAGATACTCCTTGAAGGTTCCACTGTACCTCAGTGTCACCACCATGAGGACTAATAAGCTGCTAGGACACGAGCACAGAAGGGAGAAGCCACATCCAAGTCACAAGAGTTTCAGGTGGGGCCTCAGAAGTGCCTGCTCCATTACAATTCTATGGCCTCCCTGTGGATGTGACCTATTCAAACCCTGGGGGCTCTGTGGCTTTTCTCCAAAGTAGTATTAAAAGTCTACAGCTCACAGCAGGGGCAAGCTGGCGCTCCTGCCACGTCATCCTTTTCGGGTTGGCAGTGAGCCGTAGTAAGCATGACATTTTACAAGAGGATCTAACAGGCAGGTGTACAAATGTGTGCACTCTCAGAGATACGTATAAAGTAAATGGAAAATTCCCAAAGCACCCAGCCTATCCTGCTTGTATTGGTGTTGTTCTATTGTTTCTTTTATTGTTATTTTATGGAGACAGAATCTCACTTTGCTTTTTAGTCCAGGCTGGCAAGGAACATTATGTACTGCCTAGGCTAACCTTGACTGTAAGATCCCCTTTCTAATAGTATGACACCAAGCACTAATGTCACAAGAACACCATGCCACATGTGACTTTGATATCTATCTATATATGTGTGTATGTACATGCACACACACACAAACTTTAAGTGACATGAACAGTTCAGAGTGCTACCCCTCACTCAGATGATGCAATCATTCCCCCCTTGACACTCTGATGTATCTTTGTACCCTCTTCATCTGTACCATTTATGACACCACTTGGGCACCACAGGCTGCGCTATGTGGCTACTGATTATGGTCCCCTGCTAACCCAAGAAGCCAAGAAGCTGGCGAGGATGGCGATTAACCTTTTGCTCTTAAAATGATTGCTCCAGCCAGAGAGTCCTGCAACACAGGATGAGAGATCCGAGGGTAAGCTGTAGCTTGCTCATCTGTAACTCCTGAATCCAGTCTCTTAAACACCGACCCGAGCGGGTGTAAGTCATCTGCTTTACATTTCGGAACAGATTACAAAAATTAAACTTGTTCCCATGAAGATATGTTTTGGCTCTCTTTTGAAGACTAAACTTAGCAATTAAAGGACATAAGAGGAGATGAGGCCTACTCGTGTATTTAAACAAATTTTTGCCAGCCTTAAAAAAAAATAAAGACTTTCAGGCAGGCTGACAAAATAACTCAGCAGATAAAGGTATTTGCTATACAAGCCTGGAGACCTGAGTTTGAACCCACATAATAGAAGAAGGAGAGAAACTGAAGCCCAAAAGTTGTTCTCTGACTTCATGTGTACCACAGCATATCCTTACATTTATTTTCTCTCTTACACACACGCACACACACACACACACACTGAAAAAAAAACTTAAGCAATCTTTCACCAAACCATTTTATTACCAAGAAGCTAAAATAATACTCTGTTAAACATTACTTAGTAAATGTAGTAAAAAGAATGTAGCTCATGGAGGTGTAGATCCTTTTATATTTTAAGTCACTGTAGCCCAGACTGATCTGGAACTTACTCTGTAACTTGTAGACTGTAATTAATTGCAGTCTTTCTATGGAAGCCTCGCAGATCTGGGGATACAGGCATGAGCCACTATGCCCAGCTGGAATTTTAAAGTTTAAGAAATGTCTCAGTATATGACATGGCTCAAAAGAAAACGTTCCCAAAGCACCTGGATAGCACCCTGATATTTTCTGGTCTTTCATTTAGTCTTTTGTGCTTGTTACTGCCCACTGAGTTAGTTTCCTTCTTGTTTGTTGTTTGTAACCTACATTCTAAAAACCTCCAAGTTAAATGAAACATGACTAATAGTGCATGTGTTACCCCTCCAATGAAGAAACTCTGTCCAGCTTCCTTCCACTAACCCTGACACAGCCTGATGTCACACCGAAGAGTAGAAGCCCTCCCATCCAGGCTGGCAAAGTGTAAGAACTTCAGGAATGAGGCCCAAGAGGTAAATGGTGTCTCTGAAGACATTACATTCTGGAGTTACAAAACGTTCCATGATAAAAAGTCGGAAAGTAAGTTCAAGTTGGAGCCTGCAGCAGGCATGCCAAAGGACTGCCCCGTCCTTATGACTCTAGAAGAGACTCCTAGGGTGCTGCTTCCTGTCTGTCTGCCAATAGTTGAACTGAACATTTGGTTCTTCTCTTGGACATCAGTTTCTAATCTGCAGTTCAGTAAAGGGCTCAGTACTAGGGATGTGTGACCCTTCCTTTCTGATAGACTGCTTTCTAGAAAGGCAACCAGGCATAGAAATAGAAATTAACTATTTACTCTCCAAGATTAGGAAGCTTCTTTCTTTCTTTCTTTCTTTCTTTCTTTCTTTCTTTCTTTCTTTCTTTTTCTTTCACTTTTCCTTTCTTTTTAGTAAAATAACATATACTGTCTGCAAGCTACTATGGTAAAGTGTAGGGCTCACACAACCTGCTACCGTCTTACCACTGTACCAATGGTTTCCCAGTACCCTCCCATATCACCAAGTGGTTAGTACTCAATTTCCTATCTGTGTCTGCACACCAGCTCCCGCCTTCATCCTGTGAGGAAGGGCATCTGTGTGACAATAGATTTAGTACCCCAGGCTCACAGAATCCTTTTCCTTATTCCCTGAATGGCTGTCCCCTCCACTCCACCTCAGCCACTTTACTTCTCAGAGAAGGCTGAGACTTGGTCATTGGCAGACAGTTTCAGAACTCCACTCCTGTACCCTTCTGGTTTCTAGAGCTTCCTCACTGTGTTCCTTTTGAAGCCAGCCTTCAGAGGTGCAGAAGCTTCACATCTCCTGACCAGTCTGGCTGCTTTCCTATTCTTCTCTTGTTAACCTGAGTGGCTAACATATGCGATGCAGGTGTGCAATATTCCTAAATGAATGTTAATAAGTACAACCTTTTAAAAAATTTTTTGAGGCAGTGTCTCATTGTGTAGATCAGGCTGGCTTCAGACTCACAGAGATCCACCTGCCTCTGCTTCCTGAGTGCTATCATTAAAGGCCTGCACCACCATGCTGGAGTTTGCACAGCTCTTTGGATTGGTTAGGTTTTTAATTACTTTATTTTCAGCATGATTGATTCTAGACTTAAGCACGCATTCACTAAATATGAAATTCACATTATTCATATACTTAAGGAGCAGAAATTACATGAAGACTACAGAATTAAAATAAATGGGAATTCACAAAATAATTATAGAGTAGCTGAATTAGAAACTGCTATTTGTTCTTGCCCTTGGAGAGCATTAGACACAACCCTGCTGTGTTAGAGTAACTAGGAAAGATAATAAAAAGATAATAAAAAGAAAGTAAATAGGTGGTCCTTTCAGTCAGTGTGGTATGTGTCCCCCTCCACACCTTTTTAAAGATAAGGTTCTATACCTGGCCTAAAACTTGCTAGGTAGCCAAGGCTGACTTTGAACTTGTGTCCTTATGCTTCCCTCTCCTGGATGCTGGCATTATAGGCATGCTTGGAATCAAGCTCAGGGCTTTGTGCATGCTCGTTAGGGACTGTACCAACTGTGCCACGTGCTCATCCCCGAAGCCACTGTTCATCACTCCATGATGTACTTTCAGAGCATGGCTTCTGAAATTGCTTCTGCTCATGACCCCTTTTTGCTCAGGATATTTTTACGTGACCATGGGTATATGAATATTTTAAATTAGGCACAAGTGTCAAAATTTATCAGATAATCCATCAGAAAAAAATTACTTTATTTTTTTAAACTTATTGTTGTGTATATGTATATGACATGCATTTGTAGTCAGGATATGTATATTTAAGAGCATACGTGTGAAGGTCAGAGAAAACCCTGGAGAGCTGGCTGTCTCTCTCTACTGTGGGTTCCTTGGGATAGAACTCTGGCTTGTAGTCCAAGCATTTTTCCCACTGAGCCATCTCACTAATACAAGGAACTTTATTTTAAAGTAATTAGTTGGTATGTATATATTTTTACCATTTACTAAAGACAAAAGCAAATTTTCTTATAAGGTGGCTCACACCACCTGTTCCTGCTTATGTTTATGTAGGGACTTGAGTCTTGGCTGAATATTCGATACTTCATCATCTTCATTGCTTTGTCAGAGTCAATCAATCTTGTCACTGCCCAGTGTGACCACATGTGCAGTGCAAAGTGCACATATGTGTTCAGAACCAAGGCTACAATGAAGTCTAAGATGCGGTGTGGATAATCACTCTAAGACAAAGATCCATCCTGGGCATGGATAGAATTTTTGGTCACTGTATGTTCAGAAACCTGCCATTCAGTCACAATACCCTCCCTCATACAGGGTCATGACCCACAGTTTAAAAAGCTAGGTTTTAAGGCAGATGTGGCACAGGCCAGTAACACAAGCACTTGAGAAGTAGAAGCAGGAGGATTAGAAGTACAAGGTCATTTTCACCTGGGCTACATGAGAGCACGTCTCAAAAACAAAAAGAAAACAAACAAACAAAAAGAAAAACAACAAAAAACAAACAAACAAACAAACAAAAAACAGGGTCAGGTGTAGAGATAAACAGTTTTAATCCCAGAACTTGGGAAACAGAAGCAGGCAACTCTCTGAGGCCAGCCTGGTCTATAGTATATTGACCATCCAGGAATAAACAGTGAGCTCCCTGACCCTCTGCCCCAACACACACATACATGTGCACACAAAAGCACCAAGAAAAGAAAGCTAGGCTTTAGATAATTGTGCTGTTCTAGAATAACCCTAACATTTGTCACATGCACAGGACAGAGAGACACTCTCCAAGGAACAGTTTCCAGGCACTGACATTCAGGGTTTCCTGTGTGCATTGGAGAATCAGCCAAAGGGCAGAGGCCTGACCAGTGGCCTTGGCAGTGATCTCCCTGGGTGTTTCTTAGGTCAGCACACAGACTTTCCTCATTCCAGTGACCACTCACTCTCGTCCTTTTAGATAGCTTTTGCCTGGCCCAGCTTCAGCCCCCACTTCCCCACCCCCCACTTCCTTTTGAGCAAAGCCACATTTTGCACACACACAGCAGTTGTCTGTGGTAGCTACTCCTCAAGAGGCTGCTTTCCAAGATGAAATGAGTCTATTGAAAGCCCAGCTCTGAAGAGAATGACCGTAAATAAATGGCAGTTGGGATCCAACCCCGAGCAGGGTTGTTATAAGGAAAGTTGGTCAACTCCCGAGAACTCACGGGCCCAGTGCCCTGAACACTGAGTGTGTCACAGGCCGGAAGCTTGTGCCATCTTAGCTCTGCTGTTTGGTGGTCTTGTGTGCAGGATTTCATTTTTCTTTTGCTGGAATCTGGCTTGGGACTGTGGAAAGGGCTTGCTACTCTTACAGGCTCAGTTTGTTCCCTGGTTCAGTCAATACTGCCTAACAATTTACATCATTTCTTTGAGCCTGAGCTTTCTTTAACAAAAAGTGATGATAATAGAGGTGCAGCTTCCTCAAAAAAAAAAAAAATTGTCATAGAGATGAAGCGAGGTAAAAAAAATCTGAGCAGAAGTGGGCTTGAAAATACATGTCCAAGAAAAATAGCCCAGCACAGCAAAAAGTATCAAACGTTTAGACCTTTGGCTGAATAGTGTAGAACAGTGTGGAAAATTTGAAGATCTGGATTGTTTTTCCAGCCGGTGGTTTTCAGGAGTTGCCAAATACCTGGAGGAGTGAGGGAGACTCAGCCTTGGTAGAGGCAGAGATTAGCAGCCAAACCCCATATTACCTCAGCCACAAAGGAAGCTGCCGTTCCGACTATGTCTATGTGAGATAACCTTGACGCATCTTTTGTTCTCAGAAAAGGAACATCAAGACCTTTCTGAACTAGAGAGTAGATCCTCCCTGCCAGAGCCGTGCTGGTTTTGCAGAGTTCACGCTGAGCGAATTGAGGCATCTATCTGGACTGGCAGGTTCCTAACTTCTAGCATTCTGTTTAAGCTATTGCCGTGGAAGGAATTAAAAAAAAATCAAGAAGTCTGGCTTGCCACTGTCTTTAATTTCCAAGAAAGGGCAGAATGCCAGATTTCTGCGATTTGTTAATCCTTTTCCCACTTGGATGGGATAGTCTCTGCCACTCTGTGGACAGTCAGGGGAATTACAACTTTCCAAACATTGCCCAGAAGAGAACGTCTTGGCAAAGCCTGGAGGAGGCTTCCCTAAATACCTAGTCCCCTGCAGTGAAGGGCAGGTCCGTCCTTGCCCAAGGAAGCACAGCAGGGGAAGAAGAGGATTAGCTCAGTCGTCCCTCCTCCCTGGTACACTAATGTGTCTTGGATCTTCTGCAAGCACAGTGGGACGCTGGCACTGGAAGCAGCTACCCCCTCTTGTGTATGGCTGGCATGTGGGGTGCTTGTGTCCTGCACTGTTATGGCTCTAGTCATTGACAGGGGCAAGGCAGGGCCTGGAGTAAATTCTTCCTAGCACGCCTTGGCTTTTCTTAGGTAGATTAAAAGATCCTGAAAGAACTTGGGACACAAAGGGACAAACCTGGCTCTGTATATAAGTTTGTGAGTGGCCCGTGCCAACCAACTTGCAGCTTCTCAGGGTAACCCACAGCTGGCTGCTCTAGGTAGAAGAGAGGACATAAAGTCAGCATCCCCACAGCTTTGGTTTCCGGTCAGCTCCTCTGCACAGTCCAGCATGTGCCCTCAGGCTTCTGCTCTGGTAGTCCTTCTTCTCGTGTGTAACGTACAGCTAGTAATGTGACCTGCCTCGTGGGAGGCCTGGAGACATAAATGAAATGATAGTCACAGCCAGCTCTCAGAATTGATTCATGTGTGAATGAACATGAGCTGAAGCCCTCTGGACCTTTTGTAAACATCCAATAGGAGTCATATGTGTAGCACGTAATAGGAACACAGTGGACCAAGGCTATCAACTTTATAATCTGATTCTAAACAACCCAAACTATATCACTTCCACAAAAATTTGATATAAATTATGACTCACGTAATGGGACATATCTATAATCCCAGTATTTACGTAGAAGACTGAAACAGGAGGATTTTAAGGTCAAATCCAGCTTGGAACTACACACAGTATACATTGAGAAAGAGTGCTGTTAACTTAAATGTACAGGCCAGCAGGTAAAGATGCCTGCTGCCAAGCCTAAAGACCTAAGTTTGATTCCTGGGACCCATACATATGATCTCTCCACACATGATAAAAACTTAAAAATAAATCCAATTCCTGGAAAGAAATTAAACATGGCAAGTGATTCGATGCTGGACCTCATGCCTCTTCTGTGGCCACTCACCCTCAGACAAACAGCAAGGCTTCTGGGTGATAAATGGCTCCCAAGGTCTTCCTGTGGTCCTCCAAGAGATAAAGGTCTGTCAAACATGACTGATGATGTAAGGAGCTGGGGAGGTAGTGTGCTTGCTTGTTGGTTCCCAAGGTGACTGTGGCTGATCCAAAACACTCTAAGAATAGCTCAGTCATTCCTTCTTGGTCCTCATTAACAACTATAGGCCCTTGAGTGTGTGTATACAAGGTTTCTAGAGAATGCCTTCATCTTATAAGGGGAAGAGGCATACAGGAAAATGGTGTACCTACTATGCCTGGCCGGCACACGCTGAGGAACTTAAGATACTGAATTGTCTGGACAACCCTGTAGAATGAGAATTGTTAATTATTCACTTCGGGTTCCCTTCCTATATTGCTTGGCAGGCATTGTAGTGCACGCCTATATCCTAGCCCTTGAGAAGCAGAGGCAGGAGGGTTTTACACAGAAACAGAACTACATCAAAATGGCTTAGTTTTCATTCAGCCAGGGGAACGAGAGAGAATCTGCATGAATTGGTATTCAACTATGGGTCTATTCTGTATGATCCACATCAGATCACTAGGCACAATGCCCCAGACTTAGAAACAGCTTAGTAAATGCCTGCTGAGTAGAGAATGGCAGGATTTATATGCCAAAAAGGCATTTGGAGTCAGTGACAAAAGTCCCACAGGGCTCTGAAAGACCAGCCATGTACAACAGCAGATGGTGAATCATCAAGTCAAAATCCGCTGTCACTGCGCCAGTGGCCTGCCATGTGCAAAGGCTGACCTGATCAAATTTGCTTCTTTTATTTCAGGAAATCCACCTTCTAAAGAAGTGCCTGCTGGGAAGTATCCATTCATAGTTACCTCTGATGATGGACGGAAAGTTCCTGTGGTCCAGGCCTATGCCTTTGGCAAATACCTGGGCTACCTGAAAGTTGAGTTTGATGATAAAGGAAATGTTATCACATCCTATGGAAATCCCATTCTTCTGAACAGCAGCATTCATGAAGGTGAGATCTGGGGAGAGTCTACCAAATGAAAAGTCACACAGCAGCTAGATCTTCCATCCCCTTCTTATGTTTGTTTTGTTTCAGGAGATGACTGATACTAGTGAAGAATTTAGCTTCTCCCTTGCACTTACTCTCTTTGCTCACAAGGAAATTTCAAATTCCCAAATCCTCATATGTTTTCCAAGTCTGCTCAGTGCACTACTGCTTCTTCTGCTTTGCAAAAGCTTAGTCCTGTGAGGCAAAAGCTACCATCAGCTCCTATCTAGAGAAGAACTGACAACTAAAGAAAAGCAATTCAAATAGGACCGAGTAGCACTCAAAATCTGGCCCACCTAACAAGAGGCAGTGACAGTGTGGTATATGAACCTTAGCATCTTCATTCCTGAAACAAGCAAATAGCTCTTGTTTTTTCTGGTTTTGTTTGTTTGTTTTGAGGCAGCCTCTCTGTATACAGCCTAGGCCAGGGGTATATTGTACGCCCATATCTGTCAAGAAGTACTTTGTCTTTTGAGGCTAAGAATAAAAGAATATTGTATGCCATGTTTTCATATGATGCATAGACCCACTGTCATGATTCCATCCACTAGCCCTTTGCTGTTTAGCATCATCAGCTCAGAAGGATGGGCAGTGAGGCCCCATTGTGGGCTCATCCAGATGTTGTGTTGATGTTGAGATGCTCAAAACATCTTCTAGGTAAGATACACCCAGGTATAATGTCAGCAAACAAAATAAACATTCCTAAGGGATTTCATAGCCACAACCGAAATGCATAGGTGCAGCCAATGCATACTTCCAGCAGGGAAGCCTGACAATGCTCGGTTTCTCTAGAACCTACCCATTAGGAGATCTGCCTGAAATGCAGGCCTTTCCTCTCACTTGTGCCTTTCTGATGTCTTTTCTTTCTAGATGCTACCATCAAAGCAGACATTAACCAATGGAGGATAAAATTAGATAATTATTCTACCCAGGAACTCGGGAGAACAATCGTCTACCTGGATGGCTCTACTCAGTCATGCCGCTTTGGAGAATGCAACATGGGAAACCTGATCTGTGATGCCATGGTGAGGCATCTTCAGGGGCAAAGCAGCTGCATCTAGGGAGGGAGGAAAGGAAGATGGAGAGACGATGCAACAAGGGGCAGAATTAGAGACTTTGTTACGGTTAGTGCTCAGACAGAAGCATGACTGGTTTCATACAGAATACTTGGCAAGGAGGCTCAAAGGACTTAGGAGAGCATCACTTTATTCCTTTACAAAGACAAAAACCTTTTAAAATATGTCTTTCTTAGATGTCCAAATTTGAGGTGTTTCTTTAAGATGATCTGAAGACAGGAAATGTACCAGATGTTGACAGAGTACATCTGCTTGGACCTGACTTGGCAGGCAGGTTTTCCCTGGTTTGTCCTGTTGGCTCTAAAGAACATGAGCCTATGTAACTTGGACTTCTTTTCCAAGCACAGAAGGAAAATGCATAGTTATGGTAAAGTCCTTGGCTATAGCAAAATCATTCATGAAGAACATTTTTCTGGGGTCAACTAGCCAACCGGCTTTGTGGGCTGTGTGGAGCTAGAGTCTCTAGGGCAGACATGAGGTCCAGGCTGGCTCTTGAGCATCATGAAGTCAGTATGAGAAACCACCAGACAGAAACATCTAGAGAAAAATCTAGAAACACCACAAGGTACTACCCTATCTGTGAAAAGGGCTGAGGTAAATATAACTTTTACTTTTTTGTGCTTGTTTTAAAAATAGAAAAAAATGCATTTTGGGCTCATAGAGTTGGCTTAAGGGTACTTGAACCGGGCTTCAATTCCCAGCACTCACAATGACTCAGTGTAACTCCAATTCCAGGGGACCTGGTGCCCTCTTCTGACTACCACAGGCACATATGTGGTGAAAATACATATATGCAAGCAAAACACTCATACACTTGAAATGTAGAATACACAAACCTAAAAAATAAGAAGTATAAGGCTATATGTAGTGGTGCATGCCCTTAATCCCAATGTTCAGGAGGCAAAGACAGGTAGATTTCTCTAAATTTGAGGCCTACCTGGTTTATACAACAAGCCCTAGGACATCAAAACAAACAAACAAACAAACAAACAAAAGCAAGTGTTTTCACTTGCTATAACTGAACGTGTGTTTTGTAAAAGAATGAGCCTGATTTGATTGCCAGTACCTGCCACAAGGTAGGCAGTGGACAGACTGGGGCAGCCTGCTGTCCTGGAGCAATCTTGACACCAGCTGGGGAGAGCCTTCTCCTAAGTGCCCTACCTAGCTGGGAGATAGGTTTAAGGAGTCGGTAAAGAGTTCTCTGTCCTAAAAGAGTGACATGGGTCTGGTCACAATATACTTTTGCTTCTGTTTGATTGAAGGCTAATAGAAGCTAATAATTTTCTTATAATTAATAATGTACACAATGAGTTTTAGTTACAGTTGGGAAGTCTCTGGGGACACGGGAGTAGAGAAAGAATACTTTGTTTTCTCAGTAAAGATATTCAGATTCCTGGAAATGATACCAAGAAAGAAGACCCAAGTAACTAAATTTCCACTATTGTAGATTAACAACAACCTCAGACACCCAGATGAAATGTCCTGGAACCACGTGTCCATGTGCATTTTAAATGGAGGTGGCATCCGGTCTCCCATTGATGAGAAGAACAATGGTATGCACCTGGGCCCAGCTTCCTTAGCCATCTATGTTGTCTCTTCCCCAACTGTGCCCACAGCACCCTCTGCTGTCAACCATAAACCAAAATGCTGGTCCTATAAGTTTGTGTTAGCGTTATTCAAACCCAGTGCTTGGACAAAGGAATACAAATGAATTCTCATATATATTCACACAGAAGCAAGCACCAAGTTTAGTCAGACCAGAGCTTTCCCTAAATTTCTGGCTTGCAAAGGTATTGTTTCTGTTTTATAAAAAGTATTGAACATTTTTACTTCTGGAAAGAGAACGATCAATGCATTAATTTTCTATGCTGGAAGACACACTTCATTATATCTACAGATACCCAAGGTTCTACGATACATTAAAACAAATCCGCTAGACAGATACTGAAGCTCTTCTGCAATCTTCTCTAACATACTGTTGGACTCCTTTAGTAATAGAACCTCAAGGTCATTTTAGACAATAGGGCAGGTGGCTAGAACACACTGCTTGTGTAGAACTACACTATGTTTAACCAAATACTTCAGATTCAGCCCAAACCAGGCGATCCAAAGCTGAGAACAGTGGACTTGGTCCTTTGCAAGCTCAGCCCCCTTGCCCAGTGTGAATAGCAGGGCAGAAGCTTTCAGTACATTCCCTCCCCAAATTAAACACAGCTGCGGTGACTGCCATCCCCTCTTTCTTCCCTCAGCCCAAAGGGAGCGGGTCTCTGGGTAAGCGTATTCTTAAGCCTTTTTCCCTTCCTGTCTCACTTCTAACCACCTAAGGTACCATCACCTGGGAGAACCTGGCTGCTGTGCTGCCCTTCGGAGGGACATTTGACCTTGTCCAATTAAAAGGGTCCACCCTGAAGAAGGCTTTTGAGCACAGTGTGCATCGCTATGGCCAGTCCACTGGGGAGTTCCTGCAAGTGGGTGGTAAGTGGCACCTCCTGTGGGGCACACTGTCCATGTGATGAGGACCTCTCAGCTCCCTACTCACCCTTCTGTGGCTGGGCTGCTTTGGATTTTCTCCCAGTCAACCTTATCTTCCAAAGACGACTGACTCTTGGAGTCACTGAGGTTAGGTTGAGGTCAAAGGTTCAAGCCCCTAGCAATGAGTAGTATTTGCCAACCTTGATTTGGACATCAGAAAAGGTATCTATCCATGAGAGCTGACCTCTCAAACACTCGTCAGATCAGCTGACATGAGGTCTTTCTGTAGGAATCTTACTTGTGGGTGGATGCAAGTAACATTCTTTTTGTTTGTTTTTAGAGACAGCGTTTCTCTGTGTACTCTTGGCTGTCCTGGAACTCACTCTGTAGACCAGGCTGGCCTTGAACTCAGAGATCTACCTGCCTCTGTCTCTCTATTTCTGGGATTAAAGGCATTCACTACAACTATATAGCACAGGTAACATTCTTAAACAAAAACAAAAGTTCTCTCCATTATTGTTAACTGCCTGTGACCATAATAGGGTTCAAAGGAACTAAAGGAGAAAAAAAGATAGATCTACTCTAATCCTGCTGGAAGGAAGGCAGGGCGCCAACCCCAGTGATCATACGTAACCAAGAATGACCTCAAACTTACTATGTAGCCAAAGCTGGCCTTTAATTCTTGCTCCGTCTACCTCCAGCTCCCAAATGCTGGTAATACAGTTATGTCCCACTGTGCCTGGCTTCATTTTTTTTTTTGACAAAGTATTTACTCTGTCAAAATTTATTGAATATTCACTCCAGGCTAGACCCAAACTGTGTAGCTCTCAAATGTGATGAGATCCTCCTGCTTCTGGGCTGGGAATTCCAAGAATATATCTCCACACCCAGCTTCATTTTCATATTAGTTTGTGGAACTGAATGCTGGGTGCTGCTGTCTGGCAGGAGACCCTGGCCTGTTGTCTGTGGGGTAACCCTGACACAGAGAGCATTTTTCTAGGGCAAAGACAAGGACCTGTGGTGTTCTCATGCTCTAGCAAGTGCCAAGGACACGTATCTGTGTAAATCATCAAATCCCAAATTACCACATTCAGTCTTCAAAGCTATTGCAAGTGCTCCATTGCAAGGATGCGTGCCTTAATTTCCAAACCCAGTGAGTCATCACAGGACCAATTAATTCAGGATTATAAAGAGGAAAAATAGTGTACCTCCCAGCAAAATCACCCTTGCCGTTCTGAGGGTCAATTTTCCTGGAGGACTCAAGGATGAGACTGAGGGTAGCTACACCATCACCAATATTCCCAATGAAATTTTACTTGAACAGTAACTAAAGTAGTACAGCCTAGTAACCCAGTGCTAGATCCTTTGGCCAAAATCCTTTTCATAGGCAAAGGTCCCTTTGGACTCAGCAAAAACATGGGACTTTTTCCTCTTCTAGGAATCCATGTGGTGTATGATATTTCCCGAAAGCCCTGGAACAGAGTGGTCCAATTAGAAGTTCTCTGCACCAAGTGTCGAGTGCCTACCTATGAGCCTCTGGAAATGGATAAAGTGTATAAACTGACCCTCCCAAGCTATCTGGCCAATGGTGGAGATGGGTTCCAGATGATAAAAGATGAATTATTAAAACATGACTCTGGTAAGCATAAGTGTCTCCTCTTCTCCTGGTCCCAGAGGTATTTAGCACATAAGAGTTGGGCAGAGAAGAGCAGGACAAAAGCGACCCTGTACCTTTGTTACTAGTTCTCTCCTGTTTTGGGGGTTACTAACAACACAGCACCAAGAAGCATCATCCGTTCCATCCCTTCCCCAGAACACATGATCCCATCTACCCAACTCCAAGGAAGACACGCTTTGTTAGAGACAGGGTCTCTCTGGATAGTCATAGCTGGCCTGGAACTCATTTTCTCCTGCCTCTGCTTCCCAAGCATTGGGATTAAAAGTGTATGGTGTCACACCTGGCTCATGATTATTTTTTTTAACAGTAAACTACTGTGTACTAACAGTGCCAGGTATTAAATAGCTTCAATTAATGAATCCACGTGGCATGATTTAAATAATAATAAGATTCTTTTGGATCACTGTGGATTTGTCTCAGCAAGTCTTATTTCTTTATCCGTCCTCTACTGGAAATGAAACCTCTGGTATCCCATCATCAAATATGTGAAGATAATGTTGAACAGACAGCATAAGAAAGAAAGCCACTTTTATTTCTCAACTAACTCTTGGCACAGGTCCCCAATGCCCTTGGCTCTGGAGTGAGTTTATTACAGTCATGATGGCAACAACCTCTTAGAAACCTCAGAGTGGAGGCAACTGCGAGCCTCCCTACGACCCAGTGCTGAAGTTCCTGTCTGGAACATGAAAATGCAATCAGATTCTTTGAACTTAAAACTACCAGCATTTTTGTCTTCTGAGATGATTTATCTCCAGAATCAAAAGAGATGTCTTCTCTTTTTCAATTCCAAAGACTTTAAAGACTTAAATTCCCTTCTTACTGTTAATAGATCATTTTTTTCTAGAGTTAGAATAATATATGTTTTTTTTTTCCAGGTGACCAAGATATCAGCGTGGTTTCCGAATACATCTCAAAAATGAAAGTAGTTTACCCAGCAGTTGAAGGGCGGATCAAGTTCTCTGCAGCAAGTCATTACCAGGGAAGCTTTCCTTTAATAAGTCTTTCATTTTGGGCAGTGATCCTTGTTTTGTATCAATAACGGAAAGTCTCCTTGTCCTTGATGTCAAATCCAGTGATATTCATATCTGCCTCTGGAAACCTGGCTTTGTAACAGTGCTCATCATTTTCAAGGCTCCTAGCAGATGCTCTTCACAAGGAAGAGACTATAACATCATTTGTTGAGGCCAGCAACTCAGTGAGCAGACAGAAAGTCAAAGTGAACCAAGAGGGTCCTTCTGGCAGGTATCGGGTAGGGGAAAACAACTAGGTGTAGTTTGCATACCCACATAACACATCTGGTTGCCATTGAGCCACAAAACTAATTTTTCCCTTTCCATTCATTTCTTATCCAACAAACAATTGATGTTTACATAGAACTTTATCATTGCCAGTTCTGGTGGCACATGCCTGTGGTCACAGCACTTGGCATAGAGGAGAGGATGGCTGCAAGTTCTAGGCCAGCCTGACCTATGGAGAGTTTCAGGCCAGTCAGGTAGACATCAAGACTCACACAAACAAAAAACATTATAATGTACGCATAGATTTTTGTAGACAAGTGTTGTGATAAGTAGAAAGGGTTGACTTGATCAAGGTCATACATCTCCAAATAATACATCTAAGACCAGTACGTAAGTCTTTTTACCTCAAGTCCAGTATTTTCTCCTCTCTTCCTGCCAACAGCCCCACATGACAAATCTGTTTCAGCCCTCCATACTATCCTTTCTTTTGGGCTCCTACTGTCTCTCAGGTTTGAGAGAGTAGCTACTGGACAGGATTCTTTCCCACAATACCATGTGCCTTTGATGAGTCATAGACAAACTGTATAAAGGAGATAACAGGTTTGTCCAGGGACTGCAAATGGCAGTCAGGGACAGGGGAGAAAGGGAAAGGAGAATATGACCAGGACTGCTATATTACAGAAGAGAGAGTGGGTATTTGGATGTGTTACATAAACACTAGTTAAGGAGCAGAGCATGACTCCAAAGCAGAACACTGGTTCTTGTTAACTCCTGTGGGATTCCAAAAGCCCTGCCTCCTTTTCTCCTTCCTTCTTCCTCACATGGAGGTGCTGTGAGAGAACTTCCTAAAATAAACTGTAATTCTAAACCTGCACCTGTCCTGTCCAAGATGCCAACACAGTTCTCCTTCTAGCCGCACCACGTACAATCCAATGTTCTGGAGGGCAAGAGTGAGTTTACAAAGTAGTATACATAAATGTTTGCAGTCACTCAGGCTCAAATCCCAAGCAATCACTGTAAGGCGTACTGAAGTCAAGACATAAGAGGACCAGCAGGACAGTGAGCCCTACAGGATGACCAAGAGATACACTGATGAAATAATTATGCCCACAAACACCAGATGGTCCTTTGACCAAGTGAGCATGGTCAGCACTGTAACAGTTATTAAGAAATCTTAACTACAAACCAGCAGCTAGAAGTTTGGACAGGGAACATGTCTGTTTCCTAGTGTTTACGAATATTAAGGACTCTTGGCACAAATCATTTTAAAATTTCCAATCCTTTTATGAAGTTTGTTGCAGTGAAACACTGCCTTCAGTTCCCTGAATGTATAGATTAGTTATAAACAGAAATGTCAATAAGACTGTAAAAAATAAAGGTGTATATGAGGTATATTTTTATGCTTGGCCAGTAAATGAGGAGAAATCTTATTACAGCATAATTTTTAAAGAACATTTTTAAAACTTTTCTAAGTATGTGTATATGTATATTTTATACAGCAGTATTGAGAACTGACCTTGGACTACTTTGTAATTGTAAATTCCAAACAATAAAGCTGAAGATATATTCCTTTGTCTTCAATCTTACTTCTCTTAAACATTTGTACCCTCAGGACTAGAGCAAAGACAATTTTCACCAGCATCATTTTTCTTTGTCATAAACACACTTTGTCATCTGGTAGCCCTTCTTTTCTCTCACTTCAAAATTGTGAAGAAAAATACATACAATTTTTTTAAGCAGGAGAAAAGAGTCTTCTCTCCCTCCCTCCCCCAAGACTGAAGTCTCAACTTTTCTCCATCTAGTCTTGCTTTCCTCCTCAGTGAAAATGGACCAGTATCTAGATAAAGCACTCGAGATGGGGTTGTTCAAACCTGAGATTCCAGACATGACTGTAGAAGAAGGTCGTGACAGACCAGGTAAATAAAATCAACATCGATCTTTGTTTTTAATTTCCTTGAACTCTTGTTTATGCATGTCACTGGTCTGCACTGAGCTTTAGTGGCATCCAAATTTTCTTGCTCAACCTAGAACCATATTTAACATTTTTATTTCAGATAACAAAATTTGGATTATTTATGGTATATAACATGATGTTTTAAAATGTGTGCCAACACTGTGAAATGGCTGGGTCAAGCTAGTTATCAATGTGCTTGCTCTTAATCTCTCAGTGGCTCCATTTCTACAAGAGTCCCTTTTCCCATTCCTCCTTTGTCATCCCTTTCTGGTATTCCCTTTGTCTTCTTTCTTTTAAAAAGATGTATTTATTTTATATATGTGAGTACATTTATGAGTACACTCTAGTTCTCCTCAGACACACCAGAGGAGGACATCGGTTCCTATTACAAATAGTTGTGAGCCACCATGTGGTTTCTGGGAATTAAACTCAGGACCTCTGGAAGAACAGCCAGTGCTTGTAACCGCTGAGCCATCTCTCCAGCCCTCCCTTTATCTTCTTGATATACCCCTTTATTGACCTGATCTAGAAATCTAAAGCATGATACTGGGCTGAAGAGCCAGCTCAGTAGCTAAGAGCACCTGATGCTTTTGCAGAGGATCCAGGTTCAATTCCCAGTACCCACAATTCCCAGTTCATAACCGTATGGGATTTAGCACCATGTTCTGGCCTCTGAGAGCACCAGGCATACAAGTGGTACACAAACAAACATGCAGTCAAAACATCCACAAACATAAAAATAATAAAATGACAATTATGATGGTAAGCCGAGGTTGGCTTATGCAATCACCTATCTATAGCAGCAGTCAGCAGGGAGGCATACACTGTGGTGTGTAAACACTTCTTTCACTCTGGCACTTAACTACACAAAAACTGAAAGGTCATCACAGGCCACATTCCTGCCTCCAAATTCCTGTCGACTCTGTCTCAGCAGTATCTTCCCATAACACATCTTCTGTCTACCACATCCTTTGTGCTCGGTAATGCTGGGGTACAAACAGGAAGCAGAGGGATAAGTAAGACATAGCTCTGTGTCCATAGCTTAGTAAAGAGACAGAAAACAGCATTCATTCTAAAAGCAGAAATTCAAGTTTCTCTCTGTCTAGCCATTATCTCTTCTTGTCCCTAGGAGGCATTTCTTACTTTGGTAGATTCTGTATCTCTCCTGATCTATCTACTTGTAGTAGGACAGCTAATTTACAAGCCCCCAGACACAGAAGGAAATGTCCAACCTACTGATGACTACAGTGTTATTCATTGTGATTGAAGATATGGGTCCACGAATAAGAATGTTACCATAAGACAGTAAGAAGCCCACAGTGACCTTTTTTACATAGATGTAAGACAAACGTTTCCCTGCCATCTATACAATGATTCCATAGTTGTCTATACCTGTCTCCCCTACATGAAGGTACTTAAACAATAAACAACTGTAGCCAACAGATCTGAAGCTGAGACAAAAATGCTGTGGAGACCCTGTATGATTCAAGAGCTGGAAAGCTCACGCTAAGGTCAGTTCTCGGGATACACTTCGTATCCTCTCTAAACAAGACGTCAGCTCTGTCATCTGCCACCAAAAACCCGAACTGGCTTCAATTAGGAGAGAACATCAAAAAGCTTCCCTGAACATACATATAAGTGGGCTTAAGAGGCAGGAGTCAAACCTGCACATTCTAGGTGTTAAGTAAAACCTCTCAAGTCCCTCAGGGAAAATTACACAAATTTCCTTCTCATACTACTAAAATGTAACAGAAAAGCTAGAAAATTATCTAAATTGGTCACACAGTGTTTGGAGCTCATTGTCTTGAAAATTTAATTTCAATGTCTCTCATTTTACTAGACTTTTGTGCTACCTTTTAATCTTGGGCTGGAGAGTTCACTCTGCCGTTAAAAGCCATGGCTGCTCTTGCAGAGGACCAGGGTTCAATGTCCACTCATCTGGAGCTCACAAGCATCTGTAACTCCAGCCCCAGGAAATCCAACACCCTCTCCAACCTCCTCAGGCACTAGGCATGCATGTGATGCAGGCAGGCGTGTGGTCCACATTCACATAAAATAAATCTTAAAAATTATACTAATTAAATCTTTTCAAGTATGGATGCTTGCAATGATATATGTAAAAAAACATACGTGTGAGGACAGTGTAATGTATAGGAAAGAGAACAGGAAAGGCTAGGCATCAAGAAAGGACTGAATACAGGCAAGAGAAATGCATTATGGAAGTGGATGGATATAAAGCTAAATGTTTTTCTAAGTCCAACTTTGTCAGAAAATTTTCATTTCTGGTGCTAAGTACACAAAAATATATTTGACACTGAAAGTATAAGGTGAATGTGAAGCTCCATAGCTGCTGTCCCCAACACCTATCTTAACTGTATACAATCGCATTGAGCTATATAGTCTTTAGGGCTGGTTCATTTCAGTCTGTGTCTTTTTTGCAACACTTTTTTGTAATAAAGCATATTTAAAGAACTTTTAAACTGATGTCTTTTGAAGTACGACGGCACGTGAATATTAATTCCAGTACAGTTCAAGGGCAGCCTTGGGCTATCTAGCAAGTTCTAGCCTATCCCGGACTACATCATAAAACTCTGTCTCAAAACCCAAAACATGAACTATCCAAATAAAGTACCTTGGCAACGTCCTTTTCCATGGTGAGCTGTTGGGGCTGGCCTCCGTGTCCACGATGATGCACATTTCTGCATGCTGCACTGTGCCATGACACGCACGTCGAGGTCAGAGGACAACTTGGAGGATTCTGTTCTCTTCTTCCACCATGTGGGTTCCAGGGATCACACTCAGGTCACCAGGCTTGGAAGCAAGTGACTTTACTTACAAAGCAATCTTCTCAAGCGCTCCTTTACTTCTCATAAGGCCATCAATCCTGTTGCAGTAGGATCCCACCCAAATGACTCTACTGACCTAAGTTTTCTCCTGAAAGACTGTGTCTCCAAATACAGTAACTGTGGGATTTCCAGTTTTAACATAGGAATTTAGGAAAGACATAATTCAGACCATAACAATGAATGAGACCTACTTACAGAAAATGTGATATATGTATATGTGATATATAACATATGTGACATATAACATATGTAAATGTTATATATACATATGTATAACGTACATATATACATATTAGTCAAACAAAGCTAAGTAAGTCATTCATATTATAACAGGAGAAATAACAATGCAAGTCCTCTCTCTGCAAGATGTATGGTATACAGCATCACACTGCATTTCCATGGTAACTGTGCTGCCTTGTCTTGTAGGCGACGATGTTAGGCCACAGAGAACTACAAAGGTGGGAGTTGGGTCTCTCTAGCCTCTGTGCCCTTGTTACTGTTGGAAAATAAAGCATTTGTTTCCAAAAGTAGCTACAGTCTGGCCCTCTCAGAAGCCTGGTCCCGTTGTGTATTTCAAATGCTTTACTGTGCCCACTCTTCCCCGCCTGTGTTTATGTGTGTCTTAATGTATGAGCTTCACAAAGAACATGTTTTAAATGTGTCGCTACTGACAGAATTACTAGAGGGAACTGTCTGGTTGGAAGAATACAGTAATGTTAATACTAGCTGGAAAACCTTTGAAAGTTATAAAGTGCATTATAATATTGTCTTTTATGTGCTCTAATTTAAATACAGGTAGAAGATCCTTAAAACTGTTGAAAGTAAACTTTTTTATTGTTTTGTTTTGCTTGATTTTTCGAGACAGGGTTTCTCTGTATAGCCTTGACTGTCCTGGAACTCACTCTGTAGACCAGGCTGGCCTCGAACTCAGAAATCTGCCTGCCTCTGCCTCCCAAGTGCTGGGATTAAAGGCGTGCGCCACTATTGCCCAGCTTTATTGGATATTTTATGTCTTTACATTTCAAATGTTATCCCCTTTCCCAGTTTCCCCTCTAGAACCCCACTATCCCATCCCCCCCCTTCTATGAGGGTGCTCCCCCTCCCACTCACCCACTCCTGCCTCACCGCCCTGACATTCCCCTACACTGGGGAATTGAACCTTCACAGGACCAAGGGCTTGACATGACCATCCTCTGCTACATATGCGACTGGAGCCATGGGTCCCTCATGTGTACTCTTTGGTTGCTGGTTTAGTTTCTGAGAGCTTGGCAAGGGGTGGGGTGGGGGTCTCCTGGTTGGTAGATGTTGTTCTTCCTATGGGGTTGTAAATCCCTTCAGCGCCTTCAGTCCCTTCTCTAATTCTTCCATTAGGGTCACCATGCTCAGTCCAATGGTTGGCTGTGAACATCTGCCTCTGTATTTGTTGGGCTCTGGCAGAGCCTCTCAGGAGACAGCTATATCAGTCTCCTGTCAGCAAGCACTTTTTGGCATCTGCAATACTGTCTGGGTTTGTTGTCTGTATATGGGATGGATCCCAGGTAGGGCAGTCTCTGGATGGCCCTTCCTTCAGTTTCTGCAATACATTTTGTCCCCATATTTCCTTTAGACAGGAGCAATTTGGGGTTAAAAATTTGGAGATGAGTGGGTGGCCCCATCCCCCAACCTGGGGCCTTGCCCAACCTCTGGATATGGTCTCTATAGGTTCTCCCTCCACTTTGTTGGGCATTTTAGCTAATCTCATCCCTGTTGGGTTCTGGGAGCCTCTT